AAGACGTGGGTCGGAAGAGATGCATTTGGTAGGTTAAATTATAATTTCAGTGTTCTAATATTCTTGGCTGTGGTAACAAGTAAATAATTGTACAGTTATTTTAGTTCTAATTATTAAATTGCAAATTACATATACATTCAATTTAAAACATTGAAATATAATTTGTCACGGGTATATTATAAGTTTACCTTATAAATAGATTTAATAAAATTATATTATTTATTAAAATTAATCATTAATTAGTTGATATTAAGCTGTTTAATTAGTTTATTAATCATAACTGTTTTTGTCTTTTTTCTCGTGCTATTGTACAAGTTGTATAAAGTAAGTGTTGCCCAAAATATGAAACTATCAGACAAATCAATATAAAAAAATTTTCTTCTTCTCCTTTATTCCTAACATGGTATCAGAGCTTGTTCTTTTAATCAAATAATTTTTAACTCGGTTATTAAGCTTCAAATTTTAATCCTCAATGGCTAGAGAGCCATTAAATGATTCACAAAACCCCTTCTTCCTTCCTTCATTATCTACCATCTAAATTAAGGCTTTTTCTGATACTGATTGGGACACATGTCCTGATACTAGAAGATCTCTGATTGGTTATTGTGTTTTTCTTGGATCTTCATTAGTCTTATGGAAATCAAAGAAACAGCAAGTTGTGTCTCGGTCATCTGCAGAAACCGAGTATTGTTCCTTGGCCAATACTACATGTGAAATTGTGTGGATTCTGAATTTGTTACGAGATTTAAAAGTGTAACATCAAAGTCCTGCATTGCTTTACAGTGATAATCAGACAGTTCTACACATTACTTCAAATTCAGTGTATCTTGAGAGAACAAAATATATTAAACTTGACTCTCATTATCTGAAAAATAATTTAAGATGGTACATTGAAGACAATGCATATATCCACTCGCAATCAACTTGCGGATTTAATGACAAAAATATTTCATCATATTTAGTTCAACAATTTGTTAAACAAGATGGGTATAATAAATTTGTCTTCTCCATCTTGAGGGGGAGTATTAAGATTAATCATTGATTAGTTGATATTAAGCTGTTTAATTAGTTTATTAATCATAACTATTTTTGTTTTTTTTTTTCGTACTATTGTACAAGCTGTTATATGGAGATTAAGTTTTATAAATGAGGTAATAAAATTTATAACTTTATAAATATATTATTAGTAAACATATAATACTAAATTTAATAAAATTTATAAACTTTAATTATTAATGTATTGATGAAAGTAAAACAAAATATTTTTTAATTATAAAATTATTTTAAATTAATATATTAAATTTTTTTTTATGATTTTATATTTTATCATACTAATTTTTACTCTACCTTCCCCGAGCTCGAGCTTATTCTCTCCGAAACTCTATTTAAAATATTTCACGGATTCCTTCTGATCTTCTTATTTTCGAATTTCATTAGAAATAGTATAAATAGAATTCCTATTTGATGTAGCTATTTTACGATTAAGAAGCAACTACTTCTTGTACGGATTGTATATGAATATATTATAACTATAGGATACTCCATCACTGCGAATTACTACATTTATTCGAGTGATCCACAAACGACAAAAGTCTCTATTTTTCCTACCTCTATCCCGATGAGCCAAAACCGAAGCTCTTACTCTCTATTTAGTAATAGTTCGAGTAAGTCCTGAATGAGCCTCTTGAAAGCTTGATGCAAATAAACAAATTTTTGTTCTACATCTTCGAGTTATATATCGAGGTTTAATTCTGATCATTGAATAAATGAAACTTTGATGAATAACTAATTCTAAATTTGACCCGACCATGAGGCCCACTAAGACCAGGTGTATGTAACTCGTCAGTTGGCCCAGGCTCATTCCGCCATAGGCCCGGCCCATTGGCCACCCCCCAACCCCCCCCATGTTGCCGCACGGGGTTTCTCTCGCTTTGGGCTTGGCATAGCGGGCCCCAGCAGGAGGCCCGCACGATGGTGACAGCATCTGCTGGGAGGCCCGCACGATGGTGACCGCATCTGCTGGCATGTGATGTTCGGACATAGAATCGAGTCCTTGTGAATGGGAAGAGCCACGAGCCCTCTCCCGTTGCAGTTGCCGGACCACCCATCCCTTCCTTGCCCTTCGCCCGGCCCGGACGGTCCCAATCTCGCACCCAAGGTTCCGCCTCAATGGAACCTTGACCACACACGATGATCAGAGGTCGATCAGGTACCACCTAGGGCGCGGGAGGAATAAACCGGCGATAGGACGCTCTTATCTTAGGTCCTTTTTTCAGTGCAATATGGGAAAACGCCCTCTTTTTGTCATCTCTGCAGCTTTCCAGATTTTGTATTGAACGATGCGGAGCAGGCACGGAGAGAAAGAAGTGTGGAGGAGAAGCAGCCGGGTTCGGGAAAAAGTTGCCCACTTGAAAGAAAGGGCGGGCACTCTCGTCTTTCATCCCCCACTATACTATTGATCCCAAAGAAAACCCCATATGGATTGTTCTTCGCTGTAATTGCAATGCGTAAATTTTGGGGAATCTGAAATAGTTAATTGAATCAATTATAATTACTTAAGAATTTTTAGAAGTATTTTTTTTTTTCTGGGTTAGGAATCAGAAATTTCAGTGACCCTTGCCGTGCAGAGATCCAGAAAATGCCATTTTCAATCTCTTTCAATCTCATCTGGCCAAAAATTCAAAATCCTTTTGGTTTTTCTTCATTATTACTTCACAGAAATACCGGAATTGATAATAAAATACCAGCAGAGAAGCAGGGGTTATGGTCAGTGGAGGCTCAGATTCGCCTTTTATCAGACAGATGGAGATCATGTTCCGTCATCCATGGCTGCAACAACAGGAAGACCAGAATTTAGTTCAGATCCCGTTGTTACCCCGCCAGGAAACGAAGTCTTCTCCCTCAACGTCTGATTTACTTCGAAAATATCATCACAGCCTCATCGCATTCGGTTTTATCCCACAAAGAAGAGGAAGAAGAAGAAGAAGAAGAAGAGGAAGAAGAAAATGGAATTGGGAGATCATTGCCGTTGATGAAGTTACGATGAAGATGATGATCAAGAAAGCAGAAGAGAAACAAAGCAAGCCGTGTATATATATATGTATGCATGTGTGTATGAAGGGCTGTTGCTTACGACGGAGAGAGAAAGTGAAATCATCGGCTCCGCAGTCGATCAGAGAGAGCGGGGCAACCACCCTTCATGAAACCTTACCAATCTCTCTGAGAGCAAAGCCTCATTCTTAAACTAATGAGTCTTAAAACCCTAATCCCCCACCGTCACTCCAATTTATACTGCTCTATTTTGTCGTCTTCTTCTCTCTCCTCCATTTCCTAATTTACCCTTACCCTCTCTATCCCTGGGATCCTCATGGAAGGGGTATTTTCGTCTTTTCATCACACGGAAAATGAAACTCATTCTACGCCGGCAATGTTTTTAGTAAAATTAATTATTTTTCTTTAGCTTTAAAAATTTTATTTTTATTTAATTAAAAAATTAAATTATTATATAATATTCGTTCATTTATTAAAAACTAATTTAATTTATTCATTATAATCCCACAAAATATATTATTAATTTTATTTAATTAATTATTATAAATTAATCATTATTAATAAATTTTATATTATTAATAAAAATATAATAATATTTTTTTTCCTTATAAAAATTTATATACTTCAATCAATTTGTACATTTTTATATATTTTTATTAAAAAATTATGTTATAATTAATATATATATATATATATATATATATACCAACTATATAGTGATATGTATATATTTTTATTTAAAGTAAATAATGAGTAGATTGGCATTTATAATTTGACTAAAATGAAAATTGGGTTACAAATTTTTATGAGGAAATCTCACATAACCTCTCTTCCTCTTTGTTGAACTCTAGTTCTGCACATGACTTCCCCATCTGAGTTCACAAAATGAGTGACCTGCCATTGAAAATTGTTGTGTGTATAATTACATATATCAAATAACTAAAGGAAAAAGGATTGGATACTTACAATCTCTAATGAGCTGACTCTGTGGAGAAGGAACCCATTTGCCATTTCTCTGAGGAAATCAAATGTAAATTAGAGCCATAGCTTCTCTCTCGAATTCAGTTT